CTGGCTGTCCCCCCAGGCCGCTGCAGCCACCAGGCCCAGCCCCACCAGTCTTCTTTCCAGGCCAACTGAGCAGCCTCCTCACTGTTCCTGTCTCCCTTCAGCCCCTGAGAGCTGCCACCCACCAGACAGCCCTGGGGTGCCTGGTCTTCACAACCTGGTGCCTATGTTGCCGGCTGTACAGGGGCCAGCTGGGGTGACACTGAAACTCCTGAGTGCTGGAACCAATCTCAGTCCCATTGCCTTAGTCCCTGGTGATGGGAAGACATCAGAATTGTTTTAACATGACTAACATGCACTGTTCCAGAAGGTTCTAGCCATATCTCCTGTTGAACTCACTCATGCTCAGAGCCCCTGGGCAGTGCTGTCTGTTCTACTCCTCGGAGCCTGCCACCTGGAGCTTTCGGCTCTGTCTCCACCTGGTTAGGAGCTTGGAGGCCAGGGCAGCCTCCCCTCTGTTCCCCAAACACTGGACATGTCTGGCTGTGCCTCTCATCAGCAGCTAGGAGACCTCACCCATCCCTATAGCCCTGACCCTCTCCCTGAGGCTGGGAGATGTCAACCAACAGGGTGGACTCCTGGCCGACCTGTATGCAGCTCCCCCCAGTGCTGCCCAAACCCTCCAGCCAGGGACCTGCCCTGGCCTGAGACCTAGGGTGGGCCTCCTGGCGGGGGCAAATGGAAGAGCAAGGGGAGCAGGACCTGGCAGGCCAGCCCCCCTGGCCACGCCCCTGGGCCAGGGTGTGGGAGCAGGCCAGGAGCACGGCATGGGTCCAGTGCCCATTTAGGAGCGGGCCCCGGCTGCTGGATGCAGTTCTGGGCTGGGGGCGGGGAGGCTGGCCCAGAGAGCAGCCTGGGCTCTGTGGCCACAGTGTGGGACTGCAGTGCCAGCAGGCACCGTGGCTTCTGGCTTGAGCTGATGCATCTAGAGCAAGTGCGAGGTGGTATCTCCACACGGAGCCACCAGACATCTGCAGGGAGGTGTCCAGGACACACAGGCTGTGCTGGTCTGACCCTGGAGCAGTGTGGGACCCTGGGTATGTGGGGTTGTGGGCACAGCACTGGTCAGGGCGTGGAGGATCGGCAGGTCAGGGTGGAGGCCAGCCTCGGTTGTCCGGGGTGGCCGCTACCAGACTGAGCAACTGCAGCAGCTCAGATGAGATTTGGGTGGGCTTGATGCTGGGGTGAGTTGCATGTTTGTGGGCTAGAGGGACGTGAAACTGAAACCTGCAGGGAGCAGAATGATCCCCCTCCCCAGAGGCCCCCCCTTCTCCCCTGACCTGTGAATCACCACCTCCTCACACAGCAAAGGGAAGTAGCTGCAGATAGAATGAAGTTTCTAATCAGCTATCTTGAGAGGGAGAAATTGTCTGGGGCCCCAGTATAACTACTAGATTCCTTAAATCTGTCAGATGGGCTGTGTGGCCCCCAGGGTCACTGTGAGGGCACAAGGAGATGACCTGAGACTCGGCCCAGGGCCCAGCTCTAAGGAGCTCAACAGAGTGCTCAGGCTTGTGCCTGACTGGGGTCTGCAGCTCCACCCGGGCTCTACCTGGGCCCCAGGACTGGCGCTGGGCTTCCAAGTCAGATGCTGCCTCCCTCACCCACACAAGCCCAGCTGCCTTCCTCCCCCTGCAGCTGTCTGTGCTGGAAGTCAGCGCGGGCACTCTCCACTCACTGGCCATCCCCTCAGCTCCCTGCCAGCCTCCACCCCTTGCTGAATCACAGCAGGAGAGACTCAGCCTAGTGGTGGGGAGGTGGGCTTGGTCAGGAAAGGAGAGTGCTAGGGGAAGGGGCGTCAGTGGGGGGCCACTGGTCTTGGTGGTTTTGCCTGTGGTGGCCTGCGTGAGGGCAGGGGCAGTGGGCCCTGGACCACAAGGTGAGGGGGCAGAGCCATCAGCAAGGGCCAGGCTACCTCCAGTGGAGAGCTCTGCGGCACGGGGGCTGCTGTGGCCTCTCTGAAGCTGGCCTTTGTGAACTCTGAGGATCCACCCTCCTTCCCTGAGCTTTGAGGCTTCGTGACCTCAGAACTTGGTACATCTCACAGTTTAGGAGCTTGTGGGGGCTCTCTGTACCCTGCCTGTGCCACCTGCCAGCACTTGGAGCCTTGTGAGGGACTAGAGTCACGCCTCCCTCCCTCACCTAGGCAAGGTTGCTTTGCTGGGCACACCACAATGCATTTACCAGCAGCACCCCAGCTCCTGGGCCAGGCACCTGAGATGACCAGCCATGCCAGCTACTTGAGCACTGAGAGCAGGCCTGGACGCCATCCTCTCAGTGGGTCCCGGACCCCCCAGCACACCCTTTTTGTTTGAGTTCCCATTTTAATTTCCATCTCACGGAAATAGTGTGAGGCTGGCTTAATGCTCAGTGTAAAGTGCTCAGAACAGCGTCTAGCACACAAGTCCTTACATGGTAGTTTTTGTATTTTATTTTACATTAGTATCAATTCTAACAGTTTCTGGCTTAGGTTGCCTTGGTTTCTGTTGTTTAAAACCAGGAGAGCTTGGTGTCAGAAGTGGGATTGCAGGAGGCATCTCCTTCCTTCCAAAGGAGCATGGTGTGAGCGGACAGAAAGCTGGTAGGCATGTAGGGTGTACTATGATTTTTCCTTTGGGGTCTCTAATCACATGTCCATTAAGGCTGACATTTCAGACTGCTAATCCAAGCAGAGGAAGATGAGGTCTGTATCAACTGCTCTTTCAGTAAAGCAGATGCAGAACCACAGGCCAAGAAAACTTCCCACATAGCCAGCAACCTGAGACCCAGGAGCCAGATAATCATGTGCCTTGCTGAACTGTAGAAACCAAATTCCCTCCTTCACTCTGTTCTTCAAGCTAAAGTTCACAGGACACTACACAGCCCATCAATTGCAATAGAGGCCTGGTCCCCCTCAGCCTCTTCAAAGTGTCTTCTAGGCACCCACTTCCCTCAAAGGCTGGGCAGAGGGGAAGACCCCAGCTTCTCGTCAGCAGACCCACTCTCACATCCTGGCCTAGAGCTAAGCGGGAGCGGCTGCCATTCCAGTAGGGCCCCCAAGCTCACGACTCAGAGAAGCATGGCACACCTAAGCCTCTCCTCCAGCGAGGTGCGGTGGAAGGCAGGAGCAGGGACTCAGCTGTGTGACAGAGGCTGGCCCAAGGTCTCCAGGGGCTGCCTGCCAGCCGTGGCCCATCACTTTACAGCTGGGCTATAGGGCTCCTCAGGAAAGGAGTGAAAAGTAGACTCATTTTCCAGAAGAAAGCCCAGCTGCTGGGGTGACCCCAAGAGGTCTTGGGGTGGTGCCCCCGTCCCCAGCAGAGTTGTCAGCCTCCAGGTACCCCGGTGCTCCTGGGCCTCTGTCCCCGTTCAGCCCTGCCTAGCCCAGCATGCTAGCCAGGCTCAGGCTGGGGCACCAGCGGCGGGTGGGGGTCTGTCCTCTTCAGCTGGGGCGGGAAGGAGGGCCACGCGCATCCGGCAGAGCCCAGAAGGGCACGTGTCTGGGATAGAGTTGGTCCCAGGTTGTTCCCCAACCCTGCCCCGCCTGCCACCCACCTGCTACCCACCCGCCTGGACGGAGACCGGCGTCGGGTGTCTTTACTGAAGGAATTTATTGTTCCAGAACTAAAGTTGCTCACAGTTATTTGACAGGGGATACACTGGGTGGGGCTTGTCCGTTTCCGTGACGTCTGTGTGTCCCAAGTACAAAAGAGGAAGGCTAACAAGAGGTATTGCTTTCGGCGTCCTCTGTCTCTGGAGAAGCCCCTCCCACTCGTACTGCGTGGCTTTTGCTGTTATAGGTGCTTAATTTTTCTTGTGTATTGAAATCCCAGCCTGTGGTTGTGGGGATCAATGTAACAGAAGCGTTAAAATCTACCCAGGAGGAGGGGAGGCAGGGTGGCAGGGAGGCGGGAGAGACACCAAAAGCAAATGGACTCATTACAGCAAAGGCATGCAATCAACACCTGCGGCCAGCGCCTACGCCTGGGGTCTGTGCCAGCGAGGGGCCGGGCGACCACACGGGCGGCGCCTGGAGACCTCACTGCACACACAGCACTCACTGCAGAGGACGCCGCGAACTTTCTCTTTCTGTCCTTTTTTTTTTCTTTTTTGTCATTTTAGTAAAAAACCCTTGCGGTGTCCCTGCTGTCCTATGGGAGGGGGGCCAGCTCGAGGCTGGCTGTCCGTCACAAGACCAAGCTGGACCTAGCCTGGGCCTCATGCTGCCACGAGATGTGCCCACCCTGCCCCCGGACAGAACCTCGCCAAGCGCACCGCCGTTCTTTAAATATATATATATATGTGTGTGTGTATAGAAAGAACCAAGCAGGAGGAACCCAGCACAGACCTGCCCCCGCGGTTCCCCTCACTTTTCCAAAAACAACCGAGAAAAAAAGTTTATAAAAATATCTTGCAGGAATTCTTTAAGTTTACAGTAGCTTGCCGGCGCTGCACCCACCAGCCCGCTCCGCCGCCCAGCGCTCCAGCGGCTCTGTCCTTAGGGCACCTCGGCCCCAGACCCACCCTGCCCAGACAGACAGACAGACAGACAGACAGACGGCAGAGAACACTGCTACCGCCCCTTCCCTGAACAGAGAAGTAAAGAAAGTAAGTTAAAAGAGCAAATAAATAATACTGATCTCGGGCAGCCCAGGCAGACAGGCGGCTCTGGAGCCTCCGAGTCTACTTCCCCGCAGCCAGGAAGGAGGTCGGGAGCGTGGAGCGCTCTGCAGCCCGGCCGAGCGGTGGAGGTGGTGGCCGGCACGGCAGATGAGCAGGTGCTCAGGGAGGAGCGGGGCCAGAGAGCTTGCAAGCGGCCAGCCGGTGTCCGGGCTGCTTCACCCACCATGGGTCCTGCCTGGAGGCCAGCCTGGGTCAGCCCAGCTGGGGGCTCTGGTCACTGGGAGTCTGGTTGGCTGGGCTGAGGCGCTTCCCCGCAGAGCCAGGTCCTCTTCCCCGTGGCCATGGGAGCCGAAAGCAGGCAGAGCCGCCATGCGGGCAGGCGGACAGAGGCGCAGGTGGGCAGTCGAGCCTTGCCACCTGGCCGGCGGCAGCAGGAGAGGAGAGGGGTAGGTCCATGCAGCTGCCTTCTTCGGTCAGCCGGTGCCGGCGCAGGGCCCAGAGGACGGTCGTGGAGGTGCCATGTTAGCTTTTCGGGACAGTTCCTGGTATCAGAGCGGAAACAGTGACGTTGTCAGAGACTGGCAGAGAGCACGCGCGAGAGAGCAGGCCCCGCCGCCCCGTCCTGTCCTCCCCGGCTTTGACAGTCTAGATGGACAGACAGGCGTGGCCCCGGGTCCACAATGGGTGGGCGGCGGGCAGGTGGCGTGGCTGGCCACCGTCAGGGCCGTGCGGGGATGGGGGGCTAGTGTCTAAGGCTGCTCGAGGTGGGCGGCGGGCGGCCCCGTCTTGGCCGTGTCCTTGCCCAGTGGGCACCCAGCGTGCCCTGCAGGGCCAGGGCCGGCGGCCGCAGAGTCACCGAGTGGGCCGTGGGCACTCCGCTTGGCGGGCGTGCTGGGGGCCTGGGCTGCCTGCCCATTCTTCTCGTCTGAAAAAAGTTGTTTAATTACGTCAAAGAAGTTACTCAATGGGCTGCCTGGGTACACAGAACAGAAGACAAAAGAGAAAGAAAAAAAGGGAGAGAAAGAGGAAGGGAGGGAAGGAGAGAGAGAACAGACGAATGAACAGAAGGGCCTTGGCGAGCAGGGACCCATGGGATGTGGCCTGAGATGGGTGGGGCAGGGCTGCAGGCAGCAGGTGGGCAGGGACTGGTGCTGGGGGCAGGGCCCCGGGGAGGCGGGGAGGCCCTGAGGGCCCTGGCCTGCCCCCTGTGGGTCCTGAGCCTTGCCAGCTGGCCGACCCAACTCTGGAGCTGGGGGTCTGAAGGCCTGGGCCGAGCAGACGCCAGGATGGGTGGCTGGCTCCTGGTACAAGGCCACAGGTCCTACTCAGAGCTCGTAGGCTGGAGCCTGCATGCCTGCTACACTCCTCCCAGGAAACCTGGAGTCAAGCCCCCCACCAGCCCAGGCAGCCCAGCACAGGTACAAAGGTCAGCAGCAGACAGACAGATGGACAGATGGGTGGACAGGTATGGAGAGCATGGCATGGGAGGGCTGGGAGCAGGCAGCCAGAGCAGGGTGGTCCTGGTCCCAGAGGGAATGTCCTGAGGGCAGGAGGAAGGGCGCAGAAATGGGGCAACCACCACCACCGAGGGGCCCTGTGCTCACTGTCCAGGTGCACCAACGTGGTGCCTCAGCTCCACTCCCTCAGCCTGACCCCTACCTCGGCCCAGCACAGCAGGAAGGGGGGCCCCCTGCCCCTCTCCAGTGGACAGGCTTGAGTCTGGCCTCCTGCTTGAGGTCCGGAGTACACCTGACCCTAGGACTTGAGACTTGCTGGCTTTGGAGCACAGGGAGCCTTTCATTTTGGGTCTTAGGATCCCTCCCCGTCCTTACCCTAAGGCTGGGCCCCTGGCTGCCCTTGGGTGCGTGACTGAGGCTGCACCTGGCAGAAGCCAAGGGCTGGGTGCCTCTGGACCTGTGCAGGACCACTAGTGCCTGTATGGGTCCCATGTGTACACAGGGGCCCAGAGGTGGTGGAGCAACACCTGGGTGGGAGCAGGCTTGTGAGTGTGGGTGAGCAGCAGGGGGTGACAGTCTGGGGGCCCAGGTGAGCTTGAGGGGTTCTTACCACATTTGGAAAGCCTCCCCGTCATCATTTCCATACAGTTAGTGGTGTCTGGAGCACAGAATGGAGAGAGGGAGGGAGAGTGTGAAAAAGGTTTCCTGCCCAGACCTTGGGGCTGGGTGCTGCCCTTCGCCTCTGGCCAGGCCCTCAGAGAGGGCGGGGCTTGGGACAGAGGCGGGGCCTGGATGGGGGGCGGGACCTGGTATGGGGCAGTCTAGAGGGGCGGGGCTCAGTAGTGTCTAGAGCGCCTGGAGTGAGGAGGGGCTCAGGACGGGCGGGGTCTAGAGGAGCAGGGGGCCTAGAGGGACAAGGGCAGGGCTTAGGGTGGGGCAGGGCTCGGTGCTGGGCGGGGCCTGGATGGGGCTCAGAATGCAGGGTGGCATGGGGCCATCTCCTGGAAGGGTCCTACATGGACCAGAGCCTGAGGACCGCTTTGGTCCTGCCCCTAGGGGCCCTGGGCCCACCTGGCCAGCCTTCTCCCATCCTGCACTGGGCCCAGGACACATGCTCTGGATCTGAGACGTCCTGTACTCTGGCTGTGGTCTACACTGGCTGCCTGTGTCCTCAGCCTACCACCCTAAGGCTCCCAGCTGTGTGGCTCCAATTCACCCCTCAATACATGCTGGCATCCCATTCCCTGATCCTCTCCCACCCTCTGCTGGAACTGGGTGTCTTGGTGCTGGGTGGCAGCAGGGCCGAGGAGGGGAGCTGCTCCCTCGCTGGGAGCCCAAGCAGGGTGGGATGGGTCCTCGGCCTCCCCTCCCTGATCAGGGCTGGCAGCCCTACTGAGGTGGCCACCAGGTCTCAGCCTGGTGCCTGAGGGGCCCTCATTGCCACCCCTTACTTCAGTGGCTCTGGGACTGGCCTCACTGGACAAGAGTGTCCAGTGTGGGAGGAAGGGTGTGGGAAAGGTTGGAGGCAGGGAGACCCATTGAGGAGACCTGGGGGCAGAGCCTGGGGACAGACTAGATTCCCACATTGGACTCCTCAGGTCCAAGGCTCTCAAAAGGAGGGCATAGGAGACAGGCCTGGTGCCCAGAGCAGGCACCCAAGAGTCTACAGGGACCGGGGTTTGGGTACAGGGGTAAATGGGGTAGGGCCAATGGGGGACCTTCTTGGGGGCGCTGCCCTGGGACAGTGCCCTGGAGAAGAGCCATGTCTGCCTTGCTCACTGCTGTGCCCGGCACGGTGGACACCTGCTGATGTACGGGACGATGCCTCTTAGGGTGGGACCTGGGGTCGTGTCCATGGGCCGGCCAGAACCAGCAGGGGCTGAGGCGCCATGGGGCTTCAGGCACAGTGGTCTGAGCAGCACCCCGAGCCCTGGCCTTGGCTCGCCTGCCGGACAAGCTGCCCTCCCCTGACCCCATCTCAAGCACCACCCTGCTCTGAGTGAGGCCAGCTGCCCCCCGCCAGCCTGGCTCCCAGGTCCTGGGGTCAGGGCTAGGGTGCTGGGTGGACTCTAGCCCCGGTCTGCCAATGGGGTAATGAGCACTGTTGGGGAGCAGAGGGGCAGGTGGAACACAGAGGATGGAATGAGGATGGCGGGGGTAGGAGGTGACCCAACAGACTGGGAGAGGGCCACCAGAGGCCCCAGCTTGCCGCAAAGACAGGGCCAGGGCTGGACATTGTGCTCCCTGGACCCCAAACCCCAACACAAGCCTCAGGGCAACACGGTGCTTCACCGCCATCCAGACATGCCCCACACAGCCTCACCGGCAGGCAGTTGCTTATGTGCCACCCGGCCCTGCCCCGACACGGTCCAGCCTGCCCCTGTCAGGTGCTGAGTGCCCCAGACCTTCAGGCTTCTGGGTCCCCAGCACATCCGGGCCTGGGCAGCCCCTTCCACTGGGTGTACCGCCCCAGACCCAGCTGGAGGTCACCTACTGTGACTGGGCCTCGGATCCCCTGGTTCTGCTCAAGGCCAGGCAGCCATAGGCCCGTCCCAGGGAGTGTAAGCCAAAGTGGGCACCAGCCCTCAGCCCTCACAGGGCACTATGGGGGTGAGCCCCGAAGGCAGCAGTTCCCGGCAGGACCCTGGTCACTGCTGTCCCAGGGCCTGCTCTCGCTGGCTGGGGGCCACGCTGCCCCGTGACCAGCTGCTCAGCCTGGGTGCTGGGCCTATGAGGCCTGTCCAGGGCCAGGAGCTTGGCCACTGGACGTGTGAGTGGGCACATGGTGCCCTTCTTGGGGCCAGCTCTCACCGACGGAACTGCCCGCAGCCCCCCCTGCCCCAGTGGCAGGGCCAGATACCTTACCTGCCAGCGTCAGAGGCTACTCTCGTAGCTGGTGGCCACCTTCTGGCCCTTAAGCCCAGCACCCCAGCTTAGTCCTGGAGCTGGTGGGGGGGGTTCTACAGTGGACAAGAGGCGCCTTTCAGTGTGGTGTGCTGGGCCCTGCCTCCCTGGGCGTGCAGACGGCGGCCCACTGCTCGGGGAGGGCCCTGCTCCCTGGGGGCCGCCGCCCTTGGCTGGGCACAGGCGGTGGGCAGCTGAGGGGCCACGCCCTGCTCGCCAGCCTGCTGGCAGCCCGAGCTGAGCCCCCACCTCACCTGACAAATGCTGGGTGGAGGGCTGGTCGTGTGTGCTCAGCAGCTGGGTCTGAATGGTCTCCACCACCCTCTTGAAGCGGCGGCTCGGGCCTGGGGGAGATGGTGCGGGGTGAGGGTGTTAGCTGGGGGCGGGGCTGGCCCAGACCCCTCACCCCTAGCCCAGTGCCCCACCTGATAAAAGCGTGAATGTGACAGAGTAGATGCCGTTCTCCTTCTGCGCTGCACCACCCTCCGTGTAGGTGATGTCCACCTGGAACTTGACAGGCTTTTGGAACACTGCTGGGCCTCCAGTCGCCTTGTACTCTGCCCGGAAGCTGGTCTGGGAGATGACGCTGTGGCTGAGGCTGGGGATCTGCAGGGCAGAGGGCAGCGTTGAGTGTGGCCCCAGGCTGCCACCTGTGCTCTGTGCACAGGCCCCGCAAACCCAGACCCTCAGAGCCAGCCCTCGAGCCTCCTCGGGAAATGGCACAGCGAGAAGAAGTCCATCCTAGTTGGGAGCTGTCCATCCTCCCAGCCCCGGTCAGCAGGGCCTGCTGTGAGCCACAGGCATGGGAGCACCATCACCCCCAGGTGCAGAGGCGGCCTGGATGTGGGGCCCTCAGCACGCAGGTGGGAGAGGAGAGGGTGCGAAGGTCGGGAGGGTGGCTGGGGGCCCGGGAACACCCTGAGAATGTGCTCAGGGTACTGGTCCTGGAAGTGCGCCAGGCCCAGGTGCCTCTGCCTCTGGGGTGATGCTGTCCAGACAAACCTGGGAGGGGGTCTTGCCTCAGAGGGGTCATCCCCAGGACAGTTCTCTGCTGCTCAGGAGAGCGCAATGCTGGCCTCGCAGTTACAAGGCCGAGCCACGTCACATGGGGGAGGGATTCTTGGTGTCCCAGGAGCAGGAGAAGGCTGTGGGAAGGGCCAGACATACAGCCCCAGGAGGTTGGCAGGCCACAGCAGCTGGGGGCCGTGTCCTGGGGCTTGTAGGGGCACTGAGCTGTCCCCATGGCCCCAGGGGCACCTGGGCTGCAGCCAGGTAGCAGGGCACCCAAGTTAGAGAAATGCCCTGGCAGGCTCCGCCCACCCTGGATGATGGGGCCTAAGCTGGAGCTGTGGGGATGTGACACCCCTAAGCGGTGATCCTGAGGGGTCACCTGAAAGGCATGTGGGACGTACCCCAGACCTGAGAGAGCCCACCCTCAGGGACCTCAGAGCCCAGTGCCTAGCCCCAGCAGAGGCAAGGGGCCTGGGGAGGCCATCGGGTGGACACAGAGGCAAGTCCCTGGGGCCTTTCATGACCTGGGGCGTGCCCACCAGGCTGCAGGGGCCCCTCTGTGTCGGGGCCTCATGTGTCCTGAGAGCCACTGCATGGCCACCGAGGCCCAGGTCCCAGTGCCCCGCATGCCCACAGGTCGGGTCCGGGCCCATGCCCCGCACAGCTGCTGTTCGGCCCACACCAGGCTGCTCCGTGCCCCTGCCCACCCTGCGTGTCCGAGCGGGCTGGGGCTCACCGACAGGAAGGCGTGGACGATGTCGGCTTTGATGGAGCTCAGCGGCTTGTCCTTGATGACCACAAAGATCTGCTCCTCCTTCTCCAGGTTGATGAAGTTCCCAAACCAAGACTTCTTGGCGAGCCTGGGGGAAGGGTGGGGGAGGGCTGGTCATGGCGGGTACGCTGCAGGGGCCGTGCACTCTCCTCTCCTGTCCGAACCGGACCCCCCACCCTGCTCCTGAGCCTACTGCCCTGACTCTGACCCTGCAGTCCTACAGTCCTAATGCTAATCCCCCAGCCCCGGGCCCAGCCCCTCTCCCCATAGTTCCCCCTTCCACCTGTGTGGACCTGAGCAGCACCAACTGGAGTCCCACCAGAGGGGAAGAGTCCTCCCTGGCCCCCAGCCTTGCTTCTCTCTGTTTAAGCCACCAAGTTTTGGGGGATTTGCTACATAGCCGTCCGGCAGTGTCTGCGAGGAAAGCCTCACCAGGCTGTGTCCTGCACGGGTGTGGACTGAGAACTGGCCGAGACTGGGATGCTCCGTGCCCGTCCCACCTGGTGGGCAGCCTTGCTCCCCTGGCCTCCCATACCCCTTCCCCAGTCACTGTGGGACACGGTCCTGGCTGCTATGCTGGGCAAAGCGGGGCGGCACTCCAGGGAGCCCAAAGCTGGCAGGGCCCTCCCAGGACCCCTTCTTTGCTCTCCTGTGTTGTCCTCCAGTCCTGTGTCAGGGGCCACCCCTTTCTGAGATGGAGGCCCCCAGTGCACAACAGCAGAGAGACCCTCCAGCCAGCCCCCATCCTGCCTCCTGGGCCATGCTGGGTGGGCGCCTTCGTTGGGCGTACTGGGCCCTGTGACTTGCTCCACAGGGAGGACTTGGGAAAAGCCATCTGAGTCACCTCTAAGACTCAGTTCCAAGAGGCTGTGACTTTGTTTCTAGACTCGAGGGACAGACTCACGTGGCAGAAGGCCTGACCACGGAGACTGTGACATGACAAATGTGTGCTAGTCCCAGAGGCCAGGTTTTGTTGGAATGTCACGTAGCAGCTGCTAACAGATGACACGGGGGACTTCCAGCTGCTCATGTGGACACATGACCGGGCTCCACCCACCCAATGTACCAGATGTTGGAACAGCAGCCAGAGCAGAGGCAGGACCCCCCAGGGCAGGTGCTGCAGAGCCTGCCTGGCATCCAGCCCAAGCGGCCTCGGCAGGCAAGCCACAGGTCTGATGCTCAGCAGCACTCTGTGTTGTCACCACCACCCTCCACCGACTCCCGGCTCTGCTAGCCGATGGGGACTATTTCTGCCAGATGCCGGGCCACTGGAGGCCTGAAGGGTAAAAGCCAGGTTTTGTTATCCTGTCCTCATCTTGGGGCCTGCTCCGCAGTTTTCCTGGCATGGGACTTCCTCCCACCTGTTCCTGGAGCTGGCCGTGCAGCTTCCGTGGCAATTCTGGAGTTGGGCAACAAAGCCCAGTCAGCTGTCATCACTCACCCTGGCCTCTGGTGGCCCAGGAATGGGGGTAGCAGACAGCAGAGAAAACATGTGGATGTGGCCTGCTGGACCCCAACTGTCTGCATCTGCCAGCTCTGCAGGTCCTGCCTGAGCCACTGACCACTCACCACCCGTCAGGGCCTGGAGCCCAGGAGGGGCTCTGGGAGGCAGCCCACAGGGGCTTCTGCCTTCCCGTCCCTTGATGAAGATAGGATAACAAAACCTGGCTTTTACCCTTCAGGCCCCCAGAGGCCTGGCATCTGGCAGGAATTGTCCCCGTCTGCAAAAAGAGCCGGGAGACGGTGGAGGGCGGTGGTGACTCAGGCGTCAGGGTGGCCCCTCTCCTCACACACTGGGGGTCACTTCTTGAAAAGCACTTCTTAGGCACAATCAGTCACCTCTGAGGGGGACAGACTCCCCTTGGGTACGTATGCGGCTCATCCAAGTAGTTAGGGCCTGGAGCGGGCACCACAGTTTCCCAGGAAGAAAGGAATTCTCCCAGAGGCACCACAGAGACCCTACCTTCCACACCCAGCAACGGAGTTTGGACATAGGATGCATGTCACTGACAACCCACCAAACCTTGTCTCAGATCACTGAGCCGCCCTGTGCAGGCATGCTGTGGGCACACCCCACTGGGGCGCTGGCGACGCGCGGCTGCCCAGGGACAGCCTTTGCAGCAGGAGGCAGTGTGTCCTGAGCCTACAGGGCCACACGCAAGAGGTGGCAGGCTCTGGCCGGAACCCACAGAGGGTTCAAGTCCTCCAGGGGTGCTCCCACAGGACACCTGCACCCTCAGGTTGCCAGGGGCAGGGGCCTAATGACAGTGAGGTTCCCGTGTGTCTGTGCAAGTTCACCAAGGGCAGACTGGCGCTGACCACAGACTAGAGTGTCCCTAAGCCCAGGCCTTTGGGGCCTGCTCCCTACACACATGCTGTGACCTGGGTGCTGGCTCCTGCTCAGGTCTCTGTCCATAGCCGCCACCGCCCTGCCTGTCACAGCAGCTTCTCTTGCTTGGGGACAGCTGGCTGGCTGCCGCCACAAAGGCTGCTGTGTGAGGTTTGGCGGCTCCCCCAGAACCCTTGACTGGACGGCCCCTCCCTGCATCCGCATCATGCTGAGGCTCATACCATCCCCCACCTACTGGGTGTGGCCGCCACATGGGGCTGTGGGGTGGTGGGGCCCCCCAGGGTCTTCACTGCAGGCCCCAGGACACTCGGGGGACACCCCACACCTGCGGAGGAGCATCTGGTGTGCAGGCCTGCTGCAGGGTGGACGTGGCCCTGCTTCTTGCCCCTTGTGTGACTGAGAGCCGAGGGCTTGGTCTGCCCTCACCTTGAACAAGGCCACCACCCCTGGATGAGTATTTCCGTGGGCTGTTCCACAGTGCCTCCTCCTTGGTGAGCACCGGGTTTTCCTAGGGGCCCCCGAGTCTCTGGCCGCACCCCGGTCTCTGCCCTGCCCTTGGGAAGCCCTGGTCAGCTCTGCCCTCCCTGGTGCTGCAGGCCACAGGCTGGTCCTGCCCGGCCTCCACCTGCCCAGCACATCCAGGACTGAGGCTGGATCCACAGAAGAAGAGTAAGTAAGACCGGCCCCCGAGGCCTGGGCCTCGCCGGCGTGTCCGGGACTGCCAGCGGGTGTGTGGTGTGGCTGCGCCGCCTGTCGCCTGCAGCCAGCCCGGGGCTCCCCACCCCAGGCCCCTCGGCCCTGCTCCCTCACCCGGTGCTCAGGGTGGAGGAGACTCAGAGATGCGAGTGCCTGAGGCAGGAGGTCGGGAGGTGGCCCCCAGGGGTGGGCAGAGGCCCTCAGGGAGCAGGGCAGAAGAGCCTGGCGGCGCTGGGCACTTGGCCACGAAGCCTTCAGTGGACCCCTGGCATGCCATGGGGGAGGGCCCACCGCAGGCCTCCCCACGCACTCAGTGTTCAGGCAGCAGGGCAGACGCCGACGCTCACTGGGCAGGGGCCACTTACTCTGGGGATGACTCGGGGGTCAGGTTGGACATCTCCTCCGGCGTTGGAACTGTGCACACGGAAAGGACAGGGAGAGGGATGGTGACTGCTGCGCCTTTCCCCCACCAAGGCCCCCCTGCACTGTGGGGTCACCAGAGGGCACAGGTCAGCCCCCAGTTCCTGACCACATCCCAGGAGCCTAGAGTCCCGGGAGCTGTCCTGGCCTCCACTGCTGAAATCAGGCTATGACACTTCCAGCCAGCCCCGCTGTCTCCCTACAGACTGGCCCCCATGTCCCATCTGTCAGCTGACCCTCAACACCCAGCACAAGCAGGCTGCCCCATCCACAGGCTTCCCAACCACCCCACCCACTCCTGCTGCACCACCCAGCAAGCAGCCAGCTCTCCTCCATGGGGCCCAGGCAGCCAAGGAGCCAGAGGTGTCCCAAGGCCACTGTGCCAGGAGGGCCCCAACACACGGTGAGCAGGCTCAGGTACCCGGGGGCCTCTGGAGGCCACATAGTGGATGAGGGCCCCGCCCAGTGATTTGGGAGGATGGACCACCAGGGCAGAGCAGCCCCTCCTACCCCTGGCCAGGCTGGGCACAGCTCCTCCACCACGGCCAGCCCTCACACACCTTGCAGTTTCCGGCGGTGGAAGCGGGGCGACCCCAGGAAGCTGTTCTTGATGGAGTTGAGCCGTGTCCTCCAGGGCACCCCTCCAACGCTGGGGCTGGACGGTGGCGTAGGGTTGGGCGTGCCAGCTGGGCTCTCCTTGGGCGTGTGCACGGGCGTCCCCTTGGGGGTGGGGAGGGGACTGCCCCTCGGAGAGGGGTGAGGGGTCACCTGTATGGTGGGGACAGATTTGGTGTTTGGTTCAGTCCCAGCGGGCAGAAACCGGGCAGGAGCCGGTAGGGATGGTGGGCCCGGGGGCAGAGCCAGTGGGGAGCCAAGGACCCCTGGGACAGGGGTTGGGGCCTGGGTGCCGGCTGGCAGTGGGTTGGACTTGGTGCCCTGCAGCGGCTTGTCTGTCAGCTTGGCCTTGCTCGGCAAGGTCTGGGTCTTGGGGTTGGACCTCGGGGCAGCCTGAGGAGGGAGGACGTGTCCGGGCCGAGAGGTGCTCTGACAAGCTTCAGACTCCACGGAGGTGGCCAGGGTGCAGGCCATGAAGGGGAGCTCGGGGGGCAGGGGGGGCAGGACAAACTTTCTAACAGGCTACAGGGCAGCACAGAGGCAGGAGGAGAGAGTGCGTGGCCACAGGCATGCGCCCCATACCCCCACATGCACACACAGCACCGGGGGACCAGAAAGGATAGAGCAGGACCAGGGCAGGAGCAGCAGGGCAGGCGGGTGGGGGGGGGGAAGCGTTTGCCACAAAAGGAAACACATGACACACGAGAAAACAAAAGAATAGAGCGTGCAGTTAGCAAGAGCAGCTGCAGCCACAGGGTGCCCGGCGCAGGGAGAGGGCCAGGGGAGAGGGTCCTGCTTCCGGGGTCCCCAAGCCATCCTCCCACCCGGTGCTTGCTGGCCGACCCTGCCAGCGGGGCACACTCACCCGGGGGCTGCTGAGAGGGCTGGTGGAGAGGCCTGAGGAGGCACCGCTGATGGACCTGGACCTGGGGACACGGGCAGAGGGGTGCTCAGTCCCAGAGGGGCTGCAGGCTCTCGGCTCCCCACCGGGCAGCCCAGGGCTGTCCTGGCCCCGCCTCTCGACAGGCCCTGGAGAGCCCTGCAGCCCACTAGGCCCTGTCCCAGCCTCCATGAAGTGGCCGGCGACCCCGGGGCTCCTTCGCCCCACCTCGCGGCGCTGCCCCGTGTACAAGGGCCCAGGCCAGGATGGCACAGAGGAGCCTCAGCAAGGGTCTGTCGGGGGTGGGTGGACAGAGGAGGAAGGCGAGGCGGGGGCTGTGTGCAAACTAGGACCAATGGTACTGGGTCCACTCTTCAGGCCCCGGCTGGCCTGACCCCCAGGCCAAGCTGTCACAAGGCCCTATGTCCTGCGCTCTGCCCAGCACCCCACATCCTGGTATGTGGGCCCCCAGCTGGACAGCAGCCCAGCGCCTCCACACCCATGGCCCACCAGCCTGGCTCGGCCCGAGCTGCCCTCAGCAGGCCAGCCCACACCCTCTGCTCACTCACACAGCAAGGGCCCGTGTAAGATAAGGCTGAGGTGGGCACTGGCTGGGACTGTGGGCCTCATCCATCACAGGCCCCACTCAGCCTGAAGACCTGGCCTAGGTGTGGCCAGACGGGGGCCATTGGCCCATTGTGCCCAGCTGAGACTCATGCAGCCGCCACACCCAAGGGGCAGGCCCTGGGCAGCCTGGGGGGCAGGGCCATGGCTGCTGGGGCGCACTCCACCGCAGCACACAGCCTCGAGGGCAAGCCAACGCCTGCTCACCCCTGGGTGTCAGCACCTGCCATCCTTAGAGGAAGGAAGTGGGAGGTGGTCAAGGCAGCCAGGAGAGAAGACAGAGTGAAGGCCCACCCAACCCCGCCAGCCCCTGCCAGGAGACGCCTCACCCACCCACATCACCGCCAGTCCTTGGGCCTCCGGAAGCAGCAGAGCCCACGCTGGCCTGCCCCTGGCACCTGTGGGCAGGGCCCCAATGCAATGACCCTCCAATTTCCCCACTTTGACAGGCATAGGGCTGGGGTTGGCACTGAACCTGCTCCCAGCCCCCTACCCAGCCTGCCCGCAGCCAGGACAGCACCCAGAGCCCAGACCTGGGCTCAAAGCTTCCAGACGCTGAGAAAGGTGGGGGGAGGGGCGGGTGGTCCCAGCTGGTGGCACCCCAGCAGCCACAGGCCAGCAGGAGCCCCAGCCGCGAGCCCAGCCCAGCCTGGGACCTCCCACCGAGCCAGCCAGCAGCTGTCGCTTGGCCCCAGGAAAGCAGAAAAGCAGCAGCAGAGCAGAAGGAAGGGGATCGGGAGCCAGTGTACCCCAGCGGCCCCCAGAAACTAAGCTGCAGCTGCCAGAGTCAGGAAGGACGGCGGCGCCAGAGCAGCCAGGGCAGGTAAGGGGCAGGGCAAGGCAGGTGCAGGGGAGACAAAGGGGTCCCCCCCAGAGGAAGGCCCTGCAGGTACAGGGCCAGGGAGCTGGGACCTATGCTGAGACCCCATCACACCTCCAGCACCTCCTGTCGCCCCACAGCCTCTAGTGGACTCGGGGTGGCCAAGCTACCCTGGGCCGCCACTTCCACAGTGGCCGATGTAGGCACCAGGGCAGTCCCAGGACCCAAGGCCCAAGCAGGACAGGAGGCAAGGCTAACTGGGCCACAGAGGCCTGGGGGCCACAGGGCAAGGGCAGACTGGAAGGGGCCTCATGGCCCACAGCCCCCTGAGGGCCCCAGGGCAAGGAGAGCACAGCTGGTCTCCCAGCCCTCTCAGGCTGGCCACGCCTGCTGGACAGTCCCTAGCCAACGGGGAGAAGGCCGGGTGTGCCTCAGGCCCAGCCCTGCCACCAGGCCCGCCGTGTCTTGGGGGCGTGGGCGGGGAACGGGTGGGCAGGGTGTGTACCTGTCTTCTTTGCGGAATTGGGGGTGGGCTTCAGCGATATCCAGGCTTTTACTGAACATTGCTTTACTACAGCAGGAACAAAGCGAGAAAACAGAGTTACTGACACTGCCCCTCCAGGCTGTCTGGAAGGCCAGACCTCCACGCAGCTCAAGCTGGCGCGGCCCACCTGGCCCCGGGCCAGGGCATGACCTCGAGGGGAAGTCACACAGGATGGAACCAAGGCCACAGTGCACCCTGCATGGAGCCCTGCTGGGCAGGGCGGCCTGGCCAGGCCGTGGAGGATGTCCAGCACCCACTGCCGTCCTAGCACCCCCCCAGAGGGTGGCCTGCTGTGGCCCATCATCAAGTGACTATGCCTGAGAGGAAGCAGAGCCCCAAGGGCAAGCAGCGGGCTGGGAGGTGCCAGGAAAAGGGGCTTTCCAGCGACTGTTGGGATGGTCCATAGCTGACCCCATCCCAGCACCCACTCCCTGGGGCAGCTGGGCCTGGAAGGCAGAGCAGGAGCCATGTCAGCATGGCCCCAGAGGTGTTGGGGGTGTGGGGTAGCCGGTGTGGGGAGGGCCAACCAGCACTCAGCCTGCCCCGTGTGAGTCTAACAGGAGGCCTGGGCCCTGGGCACCTGCTGGGGGCAGCCGAGCCCACAACGAGCAGAACATGAGGCCCGGTCTGGGCAGGAGGTCAGCCAGCAGCCGTCTTCCTCCTGTCCCCGCCCCCCCACTCCGCTCACCCCAGCCAGTGCCAGAGCCCTTAGGTGGTGTGCCATGGCTGTCTGAGACCTGGGAGGGGCCCCAGAGCACTGGGACCCCAGGCTGGAGGCTGAGCCAGCCCAGTTCCCTGGGGAAGACCTGGGACCGCTGGGGGCTGTGGCCTTTAAGCTTGTGAGGCCATAATCCCAACAGTGGCCCAACTGCCCTGTGGTTCCTGGTTCCTGGCAAACTAGGAGGCCTGGCCAGCCCCAGCACCCAGCAACCCACTGGCGAGGGGTAGCCAGAGCTGCTGGGACCTCCCAGTGTCCCGGAGCCCCAGGGCTGCCCCTAGCACTGAGCCCCTGCCTGGGAGGGAACAGTGAGCCCCATCCACAACAGGCCACCCAGCACCAGGGCGAGGATTTGCCAAGGGCCCTGCCCGCCAGCTCCAAGTCCCTGAGTCCTTCCTTCCTCCAGGGCAGTCTGTCAAAACAGCCCAGATCTGCTCAGCACACCCCCAGAATTCCATGTCCCTGGCCCCTCATTGCCACAGCCGACCCAAACACGAGCCAGTGCCGAGTGAGGACAGGCCTACTGGCCGCCAGCTCTGAACCCCGGGCTTGACCCAAGCCCAGCCCAGGCCAACAAGCAAAGCCCAGCTCCCGGCCAGCTCAGAACAGCCAAGTCCGTCCAGCCCAGCCCCAGGGCCAGCGGGGCAGTGATGGGTGAGGACAGGCCTGGCTCGGCCCATGAGGGGTGCTGACGCCGATCAGGCCAGGGCGCCAGGACGCAGAGCACTGGGCCTCCTGGAAGGCACGCACCTCTGGCCGTGCTGGGCCATCTCGATGGCCCGCCGAGCGGGCACCGGAGAGCCGCCATCCGTCACGCTGAGCACCTCCATGGACTTGCGTTCTGGCCGCCGCTTGCCGTGCCGGTTCAACATGGGGGAGTCTACACGCTTCCGAGGAGGGTCTGTGTGCAGACAGGGGTCAGGGCCAGGCAGCCCTCTGGGCTGCAGGGGCAGCAAGGGGCCAGGTCACCCTGGGACGTCCTACCAATTTCATTCCTCGGAGGAAGGTCCTCATCCTCGTGGCTGGGGTACCTTTCTTTTCTGTCCAGGAGGAGGAAATAAATCATTTTCTCCTGATTTTCCCTGCAGTGGGTGAGAGGCACCAGGAGGGGTCAGCAGCCAGGGGCGAGTCCACTCCTGGACAGCAGTCCCCAGGCGCCGGGTCCCTACCCCCTCTTGCCAGGACTCCCCGCTCCAGGCCCCTGGCCCAGCATACGTGGCCCCCCAGAGACATACTCCTCGGACAGCAGGTCTTGTAGCAGCTTGTTGCGGTCACGGAAGCAGCCCAGCGAGTGCATGCTGTCCAGCACGTCAGGGTCAATGTCCTCCAGGCTGGGCAGCGAGCGAATCTGCACCTTGCGGGGGATCGGCTGCTCCGGCTCTGGCTCATTCTTGCCCCCTCTGCAGAAGACATGCACACTGCCCGTCACTCACCTCTGACCTGACGCGGCTCCTCCACCCCCACCCTGAGGCGGCCGGGGAGGGTGTCGGCTGCCCCTTCTGGGGACCCTGAGTCCTGCTGCTCTCCCTGCCCAGCCCCTGCGCCTGCCTGTGCCCAGTGCGGGCCTGTGCTGGGCCAGGTCCTCCCCCCCGCCTTCCCTAGCTGGCCCTCCAGGCCACGGTGACAGGCAAAGCAGGCCGCAGGGGAGGAAAGGCTACTTACATATACCATATGTGTTTCTGAATGTGCTCTAGCTACAAGGAAAGAGAAACAGGGTGTTAGTAGGGAGGTAGGAGGGGCCGCGTTAGGAGGCCAAGGGCGAGGCACCTGCGAGCAGGAGGAGAGGGTGGAGGCCAGAGGGCGTGGGAGGACAGGGCGACAGGGTGAAGAGAGCAGGGGGGGCTGCCTCCCGGGGGGCTCCAGGCCAGCACCCCGCCACCCACAGTAGATGAGGAAGTGCAGCCTAGAGAGGAAGCAAGTTGGGAGGGTGGGGCAGGCGGCACCTCCGGGGTTGCCTGTGGGATGCGTGCCCCTGAGGCCTGAGCGGGGAGAGCAGGGGAAGCAGCCTGGGCCCGGCCCGCCTGTGTGGGGAGGGAGGGGCAGGAGTGCAGGTGTAAGCATGGGGTGTGGGGGGGCTGGGCCCCATCTCCTCTCCACTGCACGGAACAGCTTGCTTGAGGAGGGAGTGGCCTCTTGAGCGCCAGCCACCCGGTCCTGGAGAGGCCAGCCCTGGTGGGGGTCCTGCTGCCCTTGCCCTGGGACCTGCCATCCTGGCACCAGCAGAGCCCGAAGGAGGCCTGCTGGGGGCTTCTGTCAGAAGTGGGGGCTTCCCTCAGACCCTTCAGCACCCCAGCCATGGGAGCTGTTCCTGACTACCTATTCACACTGACGGGCTGACCCCAGAAAGCGGCAGGAGTCGGGCCTAGTAAAGGGGGGCACTCCCTCCCAGGCACGCCCAGGGCTCTGTAAACATTTGCAGGCGCAGCCTTAGGAGGCCCCCGTGCACACACGAGCACACGTGTGCACACGGGCACCCTGCACATACCCACGCACGGCCCACACACATGTGCACACACCCCATGCGCGCACACTCACGCAGGCCCCGTACACTCCCAGGGACAGGTGGGTGTCCCTCTGTACACCGGTGCTTCCCCTGGAGGCGGCAAGGGACCTTCGGCCCCTAACCGGGGGCTCCAGCGGGCTTGGCAGTTGCCCAGGGCCCTGGGGACCCTGGGGTGGGGAGGCCAGGGTACGGGAGCAGGGAGTGGAGAGGCGGGGCCCACCGCAGGTCCCCTGGACGCTCCGCACTGCCCGCCGGGACGCACCGTGAGGCGCCGCGCCGCGTCCACCTCGATCATGCCGCGCAGCAGGCTCTGGCAGTCGGGCGGGATGAAGTGCGGCATGTGAAACACGCCCCGCTTCACCTTCTCCAGCAACTGCCGCAGGTTGTCGTCGTCGAAGGGCAGCGCCCCCTGCCGGCCGGGCACGGGGTCACCGCGGGGCGGGCAGCCGGGGCAGCACCGCGGACAGAGCGGGGGGGGGGCGGCGGGGGGGGGGGGGGGGGGGGGGGGGGGGGGCGCGGCTCACCACCAACAGCGCGAAGAGGATCACGCCGCAGCTCCACACGTCTGCTTTGCGGCCGTCGTACTTCTCCCCCTGCGGACGGCAGAGCGGTTGGCGCGCAGCGTCTGGGTGGCAGGCGGCCCGTGGGCCCGCGTCCCCAGGGCCAGGTGGCCGAGCCAGGGCCAGAGATCCGCGGGGGTGCGAGGGGAGAGGCCCCTCGGACAGGCAGGGCCGGGTGGGGCGTGGGGGCTGTGCTTCTTACCCGGATCACCTCGGGGCAGGCATAGTGGGGGGATCTGAAAGCAAAGGCAGGAGTCAGGCACCCGGGTCAGGACGCACCCCGCCCCGGCCTGGCCCTCTGGCCGCCCCCAGGGTCACAACAGTGGAGACAGCGCCTGGCATGGATGCACCGTGCGAGGATGTTCAACCCCTCTCAACCTCATCCTCCTGCACCTCCTGGGGGAGCACTGAAGCCTGGGGTCGCAGGGGCTCCGCTATGCTCAAGGCTGCCTGTCTGCCCATCTTGGTCAGGAAGATGGACTCTAGGTCTAGAGAGGCCCACGGGGCATGTCCTCGGTTCCAACCAGGCGCCCTGCCGAGCCCTCAGCAGGAAGCTGGCATGCCAGCCTCACTCCTGAGGAGGGCCTTCCAGGGCCTGGCCAGAGCCGAGGGGGTCCCGGTCCGGCGGGCCACCTGCCACCCCGCACTGAGGGGCACACAGGAGCCAGACCCGGGCACGGAGACACCTGGCTGGGCGGCCAGGCACCAGGACAGCACCCCTGCGCGGGCCGGGGCGAGCCGGGGCAGGGCTTCTGGGGCAGCGCAGTCCGGCCCCTGCAGTGGCTGGGAGGGGGCGCCCGCTCACCCGCAGCTGGTCTCCAGCAGGCTGTCGCCAACCTGCAGCGAGGCCATGCCGAAGTCTGCGATCCGGATGTTGTTCTTCTCATCCAGCAGCAGGTTTTCTGGTTTCAGATCCCTGTGGCTGGGGAGGAAGTTAGGGTAGAGGCCACCCAGGGTCAAGAGCTACCTCCCCTGCCCAAAACCCATCCGCCCAGCACGGCACCGGTAGCATCCAGCCTGGTGGTGCCCCACGCAGCCAATTTCAGAAGTCGCCTGCCTGGCAGATGGCAAGTGGTCTGCAGGACCACGGACAAGGACTCCCACAGGTCACAACACGTGCTCCCGCAAGGCCCTAGGCAAGCTTTGCTTTACGCCCTGCCCCTCCCCGTGCTGTTCCCACCCCCGCCCCAAACACCTGCTCTGAGCTTGGGGCACCCTGACCCCAGACCCCTGAAAAGGCCGAGGAAGGGGATCCCAAAACTGCATGGGCACCTGGCAGAGAGCTTCCTGAGGCCCCTGAGGGGTCAGGAGAGGATGTAGTCTGGTCCAGGGAGGCAGGAGCACAAGGGGGCGCCTGGGGATGTGGGGCACACACCATATGGAGTGGCTGTGGCAGAAGTCCAGCGCTGAGATAATTTGCCGGAAGAACTTCCGGGCCTCCTTGGGGGTTAGCCTCCCCTTCTTGACCAGGTAGTCGAAGAGCTCCCCACCAGACACGTGTTCTAGCACCAGGTATCTGCAGGGGCAGGTGAACATCAGGTGGGTGTGCACGCACGCCTGACCCAACTCTAGACCACCCAGCAGGGCAGCACTGGCCAGAGGCTGTGGCCACCACCTGACCCATCCCCTCCCTCCAGTACCCTTAGCAGGAGGGGCCCCTGCTCTCCCACCTCCTGGCGGCCCCACCTACAGGGCAGCCCATCTGGAGGTGCCCCAGGTGCTAGGGGCCTGGGGATGGGGCCCCATTGGCCCCCCAGCTGAGGGGCCGCTGGGCTTCAAGGCCAAAGAGGCAGTGTTTGCTGTCCCCCACTCCCCACCTCCCTAGCCAGCCCTGGCTGGGACCCCAGAGCAGGGGGCAACCCAGACGCAGGGTCTCAGGGAGCCCTGGCCAACAGGGCAGACCTCAAAACAGTGTAGGCAGGGGGCTGGAGCCTGGGGGTGACCCTCAAACGGTCTGGGAAGACAGGGGTGGGGTGTGGCCCCGCTGGCAGGGTGGTGACCACTGTTTCTCAGCTCAGTGTGGCTGGACTGGTGCAGGGAATGGGGATGGGCTGCTGGAGGGGCAGGGTTCCAAGCAGGTCTGGGGCCTGTGTGCCAGTGCTGTGTGGCATGTGCAGGTGGGGCATCCAGCCACCTCTGTGTACCCCACTCTGCTGAGTCATGTTGCCCTGCAGGGGTTTAGGCACTGAAGACCCTCTGGGCTGCTGGGTGGGGCCCCAGGGTCAGGGGAGACAGGATGGGGAGGTCCGGGGGAGGAAGACATGGCTGCGGAGAGCCCACACCCCTCTGAAGGTGGCTGTGTCCAAGCTGGGCCTCCCTACAGTGGGGCTGAGAGGTGGTCCCTGGGGCGCATGGACACTGGTGCCTGCGGGGCCTCAGGGAGCTTGGACAAGGCTGAGCACATTCCCTGGTAATAGCTGCTGGGAACTGTCAAGGGTGGCCACAGATGGGCTGCAGCGGCCTGGGGAGGGGAGGTGGCCTTGAGAGGAGAGGTTTGGGTGAGGCGATGTCAAGGACCTCATGTCCTCAGGGAATGTCCGGGTAGTGGCAGGGCAGAAGTGGGGAGGACCAGCTGTGTCCAGAGCCCACCCTGCAAGGACTGAGGGGTGAGTGGGGGTGGGGGCAGTCACCGGGGCACAGGGAGCCTATCTGTGGAGAGGAGGAGGGCCTGTCCTGGGGGCCTGCCCTGCTCCTGAGGGGAAGGGCCCAGCACAGCACAGCCAGGCAGCACCCTGACCTTGGTGGTCACAGGCACCCCCAGTGAGCTCACTGAGGCCAGACAGCTGGTTATTTGGGGGTGCCAGCATTAGAGCCCGGGTCTAGGTCAGTGAGGCCTCCACTGGCCCCAGTAGCAAGGCTGTGACAGGAGGTGGGCCACACTCAGCAGCCTGGGGCGGGGCATCCCTGTGAGGGCAGTTGGGTGTATGACAGGCTGGGGTGAGGGGTCTGGGGTAGTTGGCTAGCCTAGGGTCCCCAAGCCCCACGAGGAAGCAGATAGGGGCTCAGTGGGTGTGGGGGAAAGGTCCGTAGGAGCTCCTGGCAGAGGGACAGGGCCACCAAGCTTACGGGCCAGGGAAAAGCATCCAAGCAGCCCCTGTCCTTGACACCCCACTCTTCCAGGAAGCCCCACCCCCTTGGTGGCTCAGCAAGTCCCCAGCAAAGCAGGCCACCCGTCTGGTCAAGAGGCAGTGACTGTGAGGCCTGGGGCTCATCCTTCCCTCCCGAGACGGACCCCCACCCCCACCCAGCCCCCGCCCTAGGGGCTGCCCGTCCCCTCCCCAAGGCCCCACGGCTCCTCCTCCGGCCACCCCAGCTCTCCAGACCCAGCAATACCTACAAATATTTTTTGTTCTCATAAACGTCGTGCAGCTTGAGAACGTGAGGGTGTTCTATGAGCTTCAGGATCGCAATCTCCCGCTCCACCTGCAGGGGGAGAGCAGCTCGGGTCAGGCCAGGGCGCGGGGCACAATCCCTCCCACTGTGTGCACCAGTGTCCCGGACTGCCCTGCCTGAGGGGCCGGCCCGTCCTCCCCTGGCCTCTGGACGAGGCAGGGGAAGGGTGCCCAGGGCCAGAGGTCGGCCGGTGCACGGTGGTGATCTTGGGCGCCAGTGGAGGGAGCCTGCTCCGTGGCCAGGAGCCAGACTGTCCTTGCTCCCACAGGACCAGGCAGCCCAGCACGTGGCCCCGGCCCCAGGCCCCAGCCCCGTGCTCACCTTCATCAGCACTGACTCGCTGAGCTTCTCCCGGTTGACAATTTTGATGGCCACCTTCTGGCAGGTGACACAGTGAATCCCCAGCTTCACAAGGCCTTCAGGGGAGAGATGGCCATCAGACCCCATCCAGAGCCAGGCCCAGGGCCTCAAGGCTGGCCGCCATGGGGCCGCCCGCCGCTCCCACGCCACACTCCCCAGGGTGTGGGCCCCCTGGCCTCCTCCACCCCTGGGGCTCAGGGGGGCCCTTGCTCCGGGGCCCCTCCCCTAGGCCTCAGCCGCTGCCCAGCCATCCACAGCAGGGAGCCAGGCTACCCTCAGATTCAGAGCCACCCCTGCCTTCCCCTGGAGGCCCCAGAAGGCCCATCCTCACCGTGGACTCACACTCCACCACCCTGTGACTGCCCCAGGTGGCCGCAGACCCGTGTAGTTAGTTCACTGCTATCCCCAGGACACCAGGACAGCCCCACAGTCCCTCCCCTGCCCCCTGTGGGACAGAACGCTCAGCTCTCACAGCCGTGAGGTGGGGCAGGGACCTGGGACAAGCATCATGATGAACTTTTCCTGCTTATAATGAAAAATGCTGAGATATAAACAGTGTAGTGAGGAGAGACCCCATCTTAAGGCTAAGACTCCATTTTAAAAGGCAGAGAGTTGAGAAGTAAGATTCCTGACATGTTCTCTGGTAGTCAAACAGCCCAACAGCCTGTCTTAAGGCAGGGCAGGCAGTCTTAGCTGGTATGTCCCCCCTGCTTGAGGGCAGCCACTCCTGTAGAGAAGAACGGGATAAATAAACCCCTTGTGTTGGGCTTATTTAGCAGAGTCAGCCGGAGGACTGATAACAGAGGAGAGGAGACATGGTGTCTCTCACCAGAGATAAGCGCCTCGAGGCCACAAGTCAAGCCGACGCCCAACAACCCCCCCCTGCCCTTTGCCCCATTCTGGAAAGCCTCAGAAGACAGGATCCCTAAACTCCAGTGGCCTCCTTTCCGAGGATGCTGCCCTCTCTTTTCCTTAAGCGTGTACTTTCAAATACAGCTTTCTCCCTGCTTAGATTATTGCGGTTTGTCTCTTCGCTATTTCATTTTATTTCCAAGTCTCACTCTGTCTCCGCTTTACTCCTAATAAGCAGAATAAGTGGGAAGGGGCTGCTGAGAGCTCAGATTTGGGCCTGCATGTTTCTGTCGCCCGGGTGACCTGGACGGAACTGCTGCTGTGCAATCTGCTCTTTAGTAGCCCGCCTGAAAATCTCCTTTCTTTGGGAAGTTCTTAGAACAGAATCCCACTCCATCCTGTGCTCCGTGGCTCCCCCAGATCCTGGGGTGGTAGGGGCCAGTCCCCGTGCCGTGCAGATCCAAGCGGGCACAGGATGCCAGGCGACCCTGGCGTCAGGAGCTGGCAAGGGACCCTGTCCTAGGCCGAGAAAGTCCCCTCTTTCCCTCTGCACTTACCTGGTCTCTCCCGCCCGCACAGCAGCTGCCATTCCCTGCTGCTCTTGTTTCAATGAATTCCTTCCTCACCTACACTCGAGAATCCTTTCTTGCCCAGAGTCAAGAGCCCTCCCCCGGCCAGGTGGAGGTTTCTCCTGGTGCGTCACCTGGTGCGCAGGGAGAGACCCCCCAGACGCAGCTGCCCAGCCACAGCCACACTTCAGGACCCACAGTTCTGGATGCCACCCCCTTGTCACATGCCCACGGCTGAGCACCTGCCTCCCCTTACCTCCCTGGCTGGAACATGCTACCAGGGCCACCTGCCAGCTGCAGTCCTCACCTCTGGCTGGGTTATTCTGTGGTCTCAGGCCCAAGACACCCCAGCTGTCCCTGATCCTGGGCCCCCAGGCAGTCTCCAAGGTGTTTTGTGTATTCCCAGGGGCATGTAGAGGGTATCATGTGGTCGGTCCACCTCCAGCATTTGGGGGCACAGGGGGCACCCCCATCCTGATTGCAGCTTCTGCTCCACTTTAAGGGACGCAGAGCGCACCAAGGGTGCCCTTCCTGTGACCTCGGAGGGATGCTCACACTCTGTTCACCAAACTCTACCCTAGGTTCAGGTGACCCAGTCCTGCCCCAGCTGTTGCACTTTGGCCATGACCTTGAGCTTCTCCTGCTTAGCACCTGTTCCTTCACTTTCACCATTTTTACAAGGAGGAAGTGGGAGGAAGGTCTTACCAATTTGCAAGAGCCCTTTGGTTTTTACAGAAAATCAGACCTTCCTTACATGCCTCGAAGCATGTTTCCGGCAGACCTCGTGTCTCTGACTTTGGCCTCTGTGTCTCACTGAGTGCAGTGCGATCACAGCTGACCTTCTGGGCACTGTGTCCTGGCCTCCCGTCTGTCAGGAGGCCTCTGCCCAGCCGCTGCACAGACACCCTGCAGCCACAGCCCCTCTTATGTGGCAGGGAGCTCACAGCAGAGAGCTGACTCTGGGCTCCCTCGGGGGCAGGAGCAGCCACAGGCCCCCGTGGGAGCCCCATGCCTGGGGGCCTGAAGCCCCTGCACCCAGGACACATGGGCTCCAACAGGGAGCGCCCACGGAGCCCCATCGGCTCCTGACCAGGAAGGGCCGCAGGCCTCGAGGGCCTTTTGGGGCTGCCTTTGTGATTCCAGGTCAGAAGGCCGCAGGGCGGGAGGAGGCGGCCCTGCAATGGGTAATTCAGAGCTGAAGCCCAGGGACTCTGCCTCCAGGAAGGGCGCCTGGGCTGGAACCCACCCTCCCCTCCACCAGCCCAGACATGGAAACCAGCAAGAGTGAGGCTGACTTAGAAGCAAATTTCCTGTCCACCAAGTCCCCAGAACAAGGTGACAGGTCAAGGGAAACTGGAGAAATAGCAGCAAGAGGGGTAAAAGCCACTCTCAAGGGGGACATGTTCCTACAAGTCTCCAAAAGACTAGGACAGTTGCAGACAAGGCCAGGCAGAGCTGGGACAGCATCCCCCAGGCAGGCAGGCAGGGCCTTGGGCCAGCTGTGCCCAGCATTCATTCAGCAACAAGCGGGGAGTGACACCCTGTCCCCAGACGGACAGCGTTAACTGTGGCTCAGCCACCAGGGGATGGAGCAGACACAACTACAGCCACACGGCCCAGGGACGGCAGGTGAACACAGGCCACAGAGCAGCCCGGCTGACTCAAGGGCTCTGTGCACACGCACACCTGCACACAAACAGCTCACACGCTTCACAGCAATGCGGCCAACTCTCCGGAAGTGGACAGGGCAGTGGACGGCTGCAGCCACCACACTGAGGGCCAACTGCACACCAGATGCCGAGTGCAGCAGGGGACCCCCGTGGCCCCCTTTTGCCAGGCAAGGAAACACAGCAGCCACGTTGCCAGCTGGTGCATGACCGCTCAGAAAGGCCAGAGGACAAAGGGCCCAGTGGACAAGGTGCCCTGGATGAGCCCCACACCCTCAGGTACAGGCCTCTGGGCTGGGACCTGGGCAGGAGGGCCACCAGCCGTGGCCACTGGGAGCCTCCTGCCAAGCTCAGGTGAGGGCAGCCAGGACACATGGCTGGGGTGTGGAGGGGGTTGCCCCAAGCCGCACCCTAGAACTCTGATGTTCCCTCCCTGCATCCGTCTTCCTCCACTTGCTGCTTCCTGCTCAGAAAGTCCTCTGCTCCACAGACTTGTATACATCCCTCAAAGCCCAGCATGGAATTGTCCCTCCTCAGTAAAGCTTGTTTGCCACCCTGGACAGTGGCTCAGCCCTGGGTATGCTGGTCTTCCCTGGACTGGCATCCTTGGTGGCACGATATCTGGGTTTCAAGCAGTCCTGCCAACTCCCTGGAGGCGGGGGTGGAGAGTGAGCTCCCCTGAGCAGGCCATGGCTTCGGGATGGCAGGGTGGCAGCTTCTGCTGGGGAAGCCCACAATCACCCTAATTACTCAGCCTTCCAGTTGTTTGGGCTTATTTTCCAATTGTGATTTTGTCTCTAATTATTGTCTTTAGAACAAACACAGGCGCACGTCAAGAGGGGGAAAGTATACGGTGTCAACAGATAATCCAGGGGCAGCAGGGCCGCCCCGCCCAGGTCCTGGCAGGTGCCTGAGGGTTTGGACCACCTCCATGCACACTGCAGGAAGGGGATCCAGGCACTGCGGAGCCCTGGGGGTGCTGAGGGGAGACACAGGCGGAAGGCCAAGGGAGGACTCCAGGCCCGCAGAGCTGCCCACCCACCGGCCCCCCACTGCACCCCAGGAACAGGCATAACATGGGCACCCACCCCCCACCCTCCATTCAGCTGCCACGGCCCACAGCTGGACAGCTGGAGGGCAGGCAGCTCTGTAGGCAGGGCCCGGCCCCCCTGGCCCTCCCTGCGATCCTGGAAGGAGGAGGAGGGCAGCCCTGTGTGTCTTGGGCTCTGGTGGCCCTGCGGGGCCCCTGGGCAGCCCTGCAAGAAGCGGGAGGGTGGAGATTCGCAGGCCCAGGCGCAGACCCGGCACCCTCAGACCCCCAGGGGGTCCCGCAGGGGGAGTGGCATAAGGGGCCTGTAGGCTGAGAGTTGGCGTCGGTGGAGGACCTGAGCAGACGCCTCACCCTCCGGCCCCCGGCCATCCTTGGCCTTCCTCACCTTCTTGGTCCTAGTCCTTCAGGAAAGACCCTCTGGAGGGCTCTGGGCCTGGGGCCCCACTCCTAGAGACTGCCACAGGGGCTGGCCCATTGCTCTTTGGTCTGGGCAGGGGTCTGGGGGCAGTGATAGTCTCCATCTGGGAGGGAGGGACCTCTGTGCCCGGAGCTGCACCTGGTTGCCCAGCAGGGCAGCTGAGGTTGAGGAGGTGGAGGTGGTGGGGCAGCCTGAGGACACCCCTCCCTCTGAAGATGCAGAGGGGTCGGCACCCAGGTAGGGGCCCTGTGCTGCCCAACATGGCTATGCACATCAACCCAGCCGCTCCAGGCCACCCTGCGGGAGCCCAGGCCTAGCACAACACCAGGACTGCCTCTCCACCTGTCAGGGCAGCCAAGTTCCCCCAGCCTGGCCCTCAGGGTGTTTCATCGGCCTTCAGACCCCATGGCCAGGCAGCTCAGCACCCTGGGAGGGCGCCCACTCTGTCCTGGGTCAGTGGGCCACAAGCTGCTCCTGAGGCCCTGGCCCATCCACTTCA